TTTCTTTCTTTCTTTCTTTCTTTCTTTCTTTCTTTCTTTCTTTCTTTTTCTTTTTGGATTCCCATAATTTTTTTAAAAGATTTTTATTTTTTTACTTTTTTATTTGTAAGTAATCTCCACACCCACTGTGGGGCTTGAACTCACAACTCTGAGATCAAGAGTCACGCGCTCTACCAACTGAGCCAGCCGGGCATTCCTGCCCATAATTTCTTGATAAAGCTGTTCTTGTAGCTTATTTACTTTTACAAGTTTTCCTTTTGAACTGTACCAAGGTGGACATATTGATAGCTAAATCTAAAATTTTGTACACACCCTTGATTAGTTCCTTAGAATCACTTCTTAGAAATGGATTGCTACATATGCAAGTTATAGAGACTCTTGATTGTTTTGAAGGCATCTGGGGTTTTAAGGTCAGTTGGAAAGGAGGACAATTTGTGGTCTTTGATCTCAAATTGGGGTATAGAAAATTTGTTGTTATTTCAGCTCTTGGGTATTTCTAGGTGTGTGTGCTGCCAACCGTGTCAGGGAGACACCAAGATTTGAAGTACATCAACCCAGAAACAGTAAGCAGATTTCTGGAGATGGTAACTGGTTACATAAGCTACCATCTGGTCTGTTCTGTCCGTAAAATCCCACTTCCATTATATTTCTTTCATTGTGTTCACTCACATAGACACTTCATTCAACTGAAGCTGTGTTAAAGGAGTCCCGTTTATCCCATTCTGTTGCTTTTATTTTTAATTAAACCAGTGATATAAAATTGTTATGAAAGAGAGAAAACAATAAAGGAAGGGAGGGCAGGAAAAAAGTCAAAATCACTCAGTTGAGGCAAATTTATATCCTGGTTTAGAGGTTACAATCCCATTGACACCTTTCAGCGTGTGGTAATTATTTATAGTGTTCTCTTTCACTCTCAAAAGTGTCCTAGTTTGTGCAATAGTTATTTGGTCACCCTACCCATAATCTCATCACTGGAGATAACCACTAGTAATATTTTCCTTATGGCCTTCCACGTTTTATTCTGGAACATATTTGATAAAAATAGAATCATAATGAACATGTTAGCTTCTATACATGTTGAAGTTAGCTTAGCAAGACATTGTAAATATATTTCTACATCAATAAAAAAAAATCTATATTATCCTTTCAATGACTATATAATATTCTATTATATTGGCATGTATAATTTAACCAAACCCCCATTATTGAATATTTAAGTTATTTGTAATATTTTGATAACCTAAAATAATGAATGCAGGGATGAATATTGTTGTCCCACATCTTTGCGTACTTTTCTGTTCACTAAAGATGTTGGAATAGAAATTACTGAGTCAAAGTGTAATTACACTTACATTTACAAAATTCACTCCAGAAAGGTTGAACCAATTTACACTGTTACAAGTAGCTTAAGGATGTCGACCTTTTCCTTCCTTATCCTTTCCTGAAAGATTTGCTTTCTTCCTTTACGATGGAGCATGGGGAACCATTTCCCATTTCTTCCTGCAAAGTCGGAATTGCTACCTGCTACCTGTACCCCTGCAGAAGTCCTTGGGTGTCTTCTGAGAGGCTCAATGCAGCCATGCCTGCCTCCAGATGAGTGGCTTGAATACAATTTTCTCTGGTGTCTTGACAATACTAGCTACTTCGGTGTTCCAAAAAGACCATTTCCTATTTTATCCTCTTGAATGGGGGGTAGGGATGCAACCATTGCTCCATTTCAAAATATAGGGGGCCTTTGGAGGACGGGCATACAGTAGAATCCTGGGTGACTAAAGGGAGTACAAATGACGAACTGTGTGAAGGGCTGTTCTCTCCCTTGGAGTGACTGGGAGCAGAGTGTTTAATCATTGTTTCTGTGCAGGTGGCTGCCTTACTGTCAGGGAAGTTCCAGAGTCTGATTGAGAAGTTTTATATCATCGATTGCCGCTATCCATATGAGTACCAGGGAGGACACATCCAGGTGAGGTTACATAGGGGACATTAGTTGGGAGGGGCTGGAGGTAGCTCTTTATTGAGCAGAGTCTACGGATAAAAGCCCTATGAACTCCAGAACCAGGGCAGAGGTTATACATTTGGATAAGGCTGCAAGTCCTCATTCCTATTCTAATTCTGTGTACGTCAAGCAATTTACTTTCCCTTTTCCTCCTAGACCAATCTCCCCCTATTTTGTTGGAGCCAAGGGCTCCTACTTCAAATTAAAATATTAATGCAAGGATTGAGAAGCACTTTGCAGATACTCACAGACATTCCTCACAACGATTCCTACATGTTAGGGGTTGGAGGGTCAGTTCTACAAACATTTATTGAATACCTACTACATACCAAGCTCTATGCCAGACCTTGGGGATAGACCCAGAGATATAATTAGATCTATGCCCCAAAAGTGCTTATAGTCTAGACTTCTTTGCCCAGATATCCCAAGATGGTATCCCAGTTATTTCTAAGTGTTGTAACTGTCCAGAGGTGCTTAAGGAAATACAGTACTTACCAAAATTCTTCTACAGGGAGCCTTAAATTTGTACAGTCAGGAAGAACTATATGACTTCTTTCTGAAGAAGCCTGTCATGCCTCTGAACACCCAGAAAAGAATAATCATCGTGTTCCACTGTGAATTCTCCTCAGAAAGGGGTCCCCGAATGTGAGTGTCTACATGGGCAGATGTTGGAAATGGACCTTGAATTGGGACTTAAAACCAGGGAGCCTTCCCAGACCAGTTCAGACAGAGACTGGAATGAATGAATGAATGAATGAATGAATGAATGAATGAAGAATGCATATTTTCCATTGCAGCTTAAAGGTTAGAGAAGTGGAAGGAAAGGTTTCTACAATTTAAAAGTTTGGAGCAGAGGGGTGCCTGGGTGGCTCAGTCACTTATGCATCTGACTCTTGGTTTCGTCTCAGGTCATGATCTCATGGTTTGTGGGTTGGAGCCCTGCATCAGGCTCCCCACTGACAGCGTGGGACCTGCTTGGGATTCTCTCGCCCTCTTTTTTTGTCTCTCCCCAACCATCAAAATAAATAAACTTAAAAAAAACATTTTTTTTTTTTAAAGTTTGGAGTAGTGAAGGAAAAAGGATTGGGAATGAGATACCCACAAAGGAAAGGAGAAAGAGTGATTACTTGAACCTTGTTTTGCAAAAACAGTGAGATCTGGAAGTCCTTTGGGCTTACCCATAGTCTATTCTTTGTTCCCCTCCCCAGCAAATGGTCCACAGAATCCTGACCTTGCTTCTTTTCACCCCACCCACCTCTGGGTTTTCTCTAAAGGTGCCGCTCTCTCAGAGAAGAGGACAGGGCTCTGAACCAGTATCCTGCATTGTACTACCCAGAGCTATATATCCTTAAAGGGGGCTACAGAGACTTCTTTCCAGAATATACGGTAAAGAATGGGGCACGTGGGCAACAGGAGAGCTCAGACTTGGGGGAGCCAACTTTAGCATTAAACTTCCAGGGCCTGCAAAGCCCTCCGAGAAGAAACTGCTGCTCTTCTTAGCTACTACTATCAGCATCTCCATTATAGTTAGTAGGCAGAGTTCTGGAAACTGGAGTTTCCCTTACTTTGTCCCCTACCTTTCAGGAACTGTGTGAACCACAGAGCTACTGCCCTATGCATCACCAAGACCACAAGGCTGAGCTGCTGAGGTGTCGAAGCCAGAGCAAAGCATGGAAAGGGGAGCGGCAGCTGCAGGAGCAGATTGCCTTACTGGTGAAGGATGTGAGCCCATGACAATGGATCAGTGGTTTGCTGCTTACAAGTCACCCAAAGACACTGTAGAAACCCTGAACAGAAAGAGCCATGTTGAATGTGGCAAAACCCAACATTGTTAAAAGATGGCTGCAAACCAACAGGCTGCCAAGATAATGAAATTCTAGGTCTGGGGGTTGGTTTTAGCAAAACTGCTGGCTGTTGACTAAGTCCCGGAGCTGGCTTTAGAAGGCTGTAGCTTTGGGTTGGATGGAGATTTGTGTTGCTTCAGGAAGTGGTTACATTCTCTTCCCAATTAAGTGTTTCTTACAAGCCAGCCAGCTCTTTCTCTCCCTGGGTCTGTGCAAGGGAGTTGGGCATCTTCTTTCTCTGTACTTTCCTTCTTTGTTTCCCTCTCTCTCTTTTTCTTAAATGAGAAAATAAACACTACAAAATTAGAGATTTGATTGTGAGCTCAGTCTACTCCTAGAAGGTCTTTATAAGGAAGAGATCACCAAATTAGACTCCTTTAAACAAAGGTGTAACCATCTTGATTTATAGTTGAGGTCAAGGTGCTTTTCTCTACACCTGTGGTTCTCAAAGTTTGGGCCCTGAACTGTAAGCATCTTCTGAACTTCTTTGAAATGTAAATTTTCAGGCATCACACAGTTAACTAAAACAAAACTTCTGAGTTAGGGCTCAGAATTCTGGGTTTTGAAATTTCCCTTTCAGGTGATTCTGATGCATGCCAAGCCTTGAGAACCTCTGCTCTGGAATTAAGGAAAACCTTTTAAACTGCATTCTTCAGCAATATCCTGGCTATCCTTTCCTAGACCATTCCAAGGTATGCGTTACCTAAAAGTGTGCCCCATACTCAGCATGCTGTGATAACTAGGCTCAGAGAACCAAGATGATTGCCATGTCTAAGGCAGGTTATAGTTCTGAGTTGGGCTCAAAAAGATTCCTTGTCTACAGGGGAATTTTGACTTTTCTCATTTCCCACAGTCTTTTCTCCACTTCATTTCACATCTCACAGAGATAAGTTTAGGACTTGGGAGAGTTGAAAATAGATATCTGTGCTATCTGAAGATATTCCTATTTATTCCTTTTATTCCTAAAAGGATACAAAAGTAGTAAGCAGGAGCAGTTAGACTTAAGGAAGACCTTTTAAACTATTTTCCAGCACTATCCCAGACTTTCTGTTCTTAGAGTTCTTTAATGTAACCAGGCTTTCGTCTTCATAGTGAGATATAGCTCTATGGCCTGGGGTGGTGGTAGAATTGCCACTGATCATTGTCATTCTGCATTAACCTGGTAGGAGTGCTAGCCCAGGACTGGAAAAGGACAAAGGGCTCTGAAGCCTGGCTGAGATAGAATAGAGACAAAAGTGACATCTTCCCAGGTTCTGGGGCCAAGAGACTTTTTTTAAGTAAGTGGGAGGGAAGAAGGGCAGTCGCTGGATTGATGTTTGCAAGGTTCGCTAGTGTGCTTCTCTTGGAGTGTGGCGGTTGTGCTTCCCAGCAGAGGGCACTGCTGTATTCTTTAAGGCAGCTTCTGGAGTCTGCAGCCTCCGCTGCTTGCACTTGGCTCTCTGCGCAGAAGGAAGCTACCTCTCTGGCCTTCTCCCTGAGCCCTTGAGCTCAGAGCTCAGAGGGCTGAGGGGAAAGGAGAGAAAAGCTGTTGCTGTATTAGGTGCAGAAGGCTGAGGGGAAGATGCTGCTTCTCTGTCCCACTCCCACATCCTTACGCCTGCCAAACAGGTACTCCTAGTAGCCAGAGGAGGAAAATGTTTGAAGTACCTCCACTTTCAAATATGAAGAGGGAGTCCCCTGACTTATTGCCTAACCTAGTGGGTCATTTCCTGATCATTTTCCCCAGAAGAGTAGAACCAAGCCCCCACCTGGGAAGAGACTGGTGCTCATGTTCATATTTCAGTAACTTTTTTTCCCAGTCCCATTTTATTTTATTAGTATTATTTTTTAACATAATTTATTGTCAAATTGGGTAACATATAGTGTATATACAGTGTGCTCTTGGTTTTGGGGGTAGATTCCCATGATTCATCGCTTACATACAACATCCCAGTGCTCATCCCAAGAAGTGCCCATCACCCATTTTCCCCTCTCCCCCACACCAACACCCCCATCCACCCTCTGTTTGCTCTCTGTATTTGAGTCTCTTATGGTTTGCCTCCCTCTCCCTCTGTAACTATTTTTCCCCTTCCCTCCCCCATGGTCTTCTGTTAAGTTTCTCAGGATCCACATATGAGTGAAAACATGGTATCTGTCTTTCTCTGACTGACTTATTTCACTCAGCATAATATCCTCCAGTTCCATCCACGTTGTTGCAAATGGCAGGATTTCATTCTTTCTCATTGTCAAATAGTATTCCATTATATATATAAACCACATCTTCTTTATCCATTAGTGATGGACATTTAGGCTCTTTCCATAATTTGGCTATTACTGAAAGCGCTGCTATAAATGTTTATAGCAGCGCTTTCAGTAATCTTAATTAAGTGGAAATTCTGAGTTTCAAAACAAAAACTAGGGCGTAATTAGTTACCTAGTTTATGAAAAATTGTATTTGCCTAAAAGGCACCATTTTCCTGTATAATTTCTTGTAATATCCTCCCACCTCATAGGTACCATGTGATTTGATTTATGTTATTTTCAGGAATAATAACAGTAGTTAACATTTTTCGGGTGCTTATTATATGCAAGACTTTTTATGAACTCATATGTATCAACTAGTTTAATTTTCACAACACTCCTGTGAGGCAGGTACTTATTATTAGGCACATTTTACAGATAAAGAAAGTAAGAAACAGAGGGATTCAGTAACTTTTAAAAAATTACACAGCTAATGGGCAACCTGGGTGGTTCAGTTGGTTAAGCAAATGACTCTTGATTTTGGCGCAGGTCATGATCCCAGTTAGCCTCTGTTGAGCATGGAGCCTACTTAAGATTCTCTCTCTCTCTGCCTGCCCCTCTCCCCCACTTGTGCTTTCTCTCTCTCTAAAGTTAAAAAAAAAAAAAATTAATTAAAAAAAAAAGTTCACATAGGTGATTAATGAATGGTGGAATCTGGATTTGAACCCAGGCAATATGGCTCCAGTGCCCATACTCTGAATGGGTTTGCCGTTACCACATCCTCAACAAAGAACAATATGACTCTCTAGAGTTGACAGTGTATTACATGTTAAATATGTAAGTGAGTGCCTCAATTATAGTTTCTTAAGAAGTCAAGGCCATAAGGGTTGCTTGGGCTTGGGAGATGAGGTTAAGGGCTAAGACCCTAGCCCAGAGACCTTGGAATGAGGTATATAGTCGGTTACCTCTACACTAACACTGACTGGTTGGTATCTGTTCATTACAAAGTCAAGAAATGAGGACTGGAAATCTTTCAGTCTGAAAACATGGTTTTCACTCTCAGCCCAGGATCTGGCTGACCTCTGCCACAGAGAGGGCAGGAGCCTTCCCTACCCTTCCCTTCCCTCCCCTCCCCTCCCCTCCCCTCCCCTCCCCTTCCCTTCCCTTCCCTTCCATTCCATTCCCTTGTGGGAGGAGGTATGGAAGATTCTCTTTCCCCATTCAATTCATGCAAATGTTAAGGAAACACCAATTCCTTTTGTTTTTATTATTTATTTTTCAAATGTTTATTTAATTTTATTTTATTTTTAATTTTTTTTAATGTTTATTTATTTTTGAGACAGAGAGAGACAGAGCATGAACAGGGGAGGGGCAGAGAGAGAGGGAGACACAGAATCCGAAACAGGCTCCAGGCTCTGAGCTGTCAGCACAGAGCCCAACGCGGGACTCGAACTCACGGACCGTGAGATCATGACCTGAGCCGAAGTCGGACGCTCAACCGACCGAGCCACCCAGGCGCCCCTCAAATGTTTATTTATTTATTTATGTATTTATTTATTTTTATTTATTTTTTTTAATGTTTTAACGTTTATTTATTTTTGAGACAGAGAGAGACAGAGCATGAACGGGGGAGGGTCAGAGAGAGAGGGAGACACAGAATCGGAAACAGGCTCCAGGCTCCAAGCCATCAGCCCAGAGCCTGACGCGGGGCTCAAACTCCCGGACCGCGAGATCGTGACCTGGCTGAAGTCGGACGCTTAACCGACTGCGCCACCCAGGCGCCCCAAATGTTTATTTATTTTAAAGAGAGAGCAGTGGAAGGACAGAGGGAGAGGGAGACAGAGGATCTGAAGAGGGTTCCATGCTTACAGCAGAGAGCCCAATGCGGGGCTCAAACTCAGAAACCTCGAGATCATCACCTGAGCTGAAATCTAACACTTAGCCGACTGAACCACCCAGGCATCCCTATTTTATTTTATTTTTTAAACCTTTTCTTTTGAAGTTTATTTATTTATCTTGAGAGAGAGTGCATGTGTGTGCATGCCCCAGGTAGGGGCAAAGAGAGAGAATCCCATGCAGGCTCTGTGCTGTCAGTACAGAATCCAACCACAGGGCTTGATCTCACAAACTGCCCTTGTCCTCAAGAGACTGACAGGGTAGGGCGCCTGGGTGGCTTAGTCATTTAAGCATCTGACTCTCGATTTCAGCTCAGGTCATGATATTGAGGTTCATGGGTTTGAACCCCATGTTGGGTTCTGCACTGAGCATGGAGTCTGCTTGGGATTCTCTTTCTCTTTCCTTCCCCTGCTCGTGGGTGTGTGCTCTGTAAATAAATAAATAAACATTTAAAAAAGAGAGACTGACAATGTAGAAAATGATTTCCTTTTTTCCCATCCCTATAAGCACTCTGGCAAAGAGAAGAAGTACTGTAGCCTTCAGCTCCAAAGCAACAAATCTGGTGGTGGGGGCTGGCTAAGGTCACAGAAAAATTAACTTCTGCATGCCACCTGGAATGATACCATTTATTCAGTGCTTGCTCTGGATAGGCATTATGCTAAAGTCTTTACTCAATATATAGTTGTATAATCCTCACAACTGTTGTATGAAATAGGTATTGTTATTAATTTTACAGATGAAGAAACTGAAGCCCAGAAAAATTAAGTGCTGTGCCCAAGGTCATCCAGCATGTGTTGAACCCAGAAGGTCTATAAAGCTTGTGTTCTTAACTATTCACCACACTGTTAATATCCCAGGTGAGGGTAGCAGCAGGAATTAAAGCTTACCAGTGAGAGAGGGCCTGATAGAAGGCAGAAACCAAGATTACAAATGAAGTGGAGTAAGATGCAAGGTTTTCAGACTGTTGAGCCCAACCAGTGGATTGCAAAGCCTTATAGGGCAAGTTTTGTCTCTTAATCATTTTTGCACCCGGTACAAATTTGAACCCATAATCAGTCTCAAAAGACATTATTGAATTGAATGACAGTTGAATAACATCATCTTTATAGAAAAGACTGGCTCATTTGTCATTATCTACAAGGTTCCCAAAGGCAATGCTGCTTATCTAGCAGGTGTTGGCAGTCACAGGGGA